TTGCCTGCTTCACAATGACACCAAGCTGTGATCTTCACCAACAGATCTACCACAGACCTAAAACAAGTGCAAACTGTGGAAAAGCAGGACTGCATCATCACATAAACAGTCTTCTCTATCTTCCTTGCTGCAATGCTCCACCCCATCTCCATGAAGCTCTCCATTAGAGTGGAGCTAACCTACAGAACGAGCAGGAAATTTTTCAACCTTTGACACCTCCAGGCTAGAATCAAGAGCCACTGCAGCTTCAGTCATTGAGCTTCAGTACACAGAAAACACCTACACATACACACACTCAGAGGTCAAGCTACAAACCATCACTGATGCATTTACCAAGGCCTATGAGAAAATGGGCCTCAGACTAAACATCTGGAAAAGGTTCTCTATCAACCCACTCCTGCCACACAACATTGTCTCCTGACCATCAAAGTCCACAGCGAACCCCTGGAGAACAACAATCATTTATCATACCAGGAAGCCTCCTCTTGATGTGAACAAACATTAATGATGAATTTGACATTGACTTCAATGCGACAGTGCAGCCTTTGGACACTTGAACAGAGTGTTCAAAGTTTGAAACCTCAAACCGAGGACCAAGCTGCTGGTCTGCAGAGCAGCTGTGGGCACCACCTTCCCGTAAGCATAAGGAACGTGGACCATGTACAGCAGACACCTCAAATCCCTGGAGAGTTATCACCAACACTGCCTTCACATTATCCTGTAAATCCACTGGCAGGATAGGTGTACCAATATGATGGTCCTCTCCCAGCTAATGTTCCCAGTACTGAGGCACTGGTCACGTACAGCCAGCTGTGATGGGCGGGCCACATTGTCTGCATGCCCAACACAAGACTCCATAAAGGAGTGTTTTGCAATGTTAAGTGACTACTTAGGAGGGCAGAGGAAATGCTACAAACAGGCCCTGTCAGCCTCCCTAAACAAATATGGCATCCCCACCGAATTTTAGGAATCACTTTACTCTAGAATGCGCAAACTGGAGAAGAAGCATCCACAAAGGCTCCAACCACTTTGAGCGTCCCTTAGTTTTTTATGTGGACACCCAGTGGAAGCAGCAGAAACCGTGCAAAATCCAGAGCATCGCACCTCAAACATCACCTGCCCCAACTGGGGCAGAGTCTGTAACTCCAGGATTTGACAATTCAGCCACTGCAGAATTTGTCCCGCCGCCCGAGAGTGGAAGCAAGTCACTCTTGACCCTGAAAGACTGCCAAAGAAAATAATGAAAAGGAATTGGCATATGCACAGGCATTCTGGGTTAAAGCTGCAGTGGACTCCAACAAAGAATGCCTCAGCAAATCTTGTTGTGTTGCTAAAGAGGTGAGCATTCTGTTGCACTATTTACTTAAGCAATAAATATCTACATGGGACTAAACAACAAACGGTTGGCCAAATGCTTTTATTGAATTTTGTCCCTTTGATTTATGTTGATTTATTGATGGAAATTTGCACACTTCCATGTTCAGTTCTTAATGGTAGAGGGGATTGAATTCATCCAAATACCTTATCTTTGGTAAGCTGCAAAAAACCTCACCATAACAAGAGTGTCTCCCTCCATTACTGATCCCAGGATATGAGCGGAAAACTACTTGCAAGCAACGATGGACACTTGTTGAGTGACTTTGAGAAATGCTGTGTTCTGGATCATGACCATTTTAATTTGAATGTAATTATTAAACATAGAACCCATGTTCTAATCAGCTGTTCCTCTGGATGATGTACAATCCATCTAAGCAGTACTTTGATGGATGGATGGATGGATGGATGCTTGTTTAACCAATTGCCCTGAATTAAAAAAAAACCAAAGAACTGCAGATGCTGGAAATCAGAAACAAAAAACAGAAATTGCTGTAAAAACTCAGCAGGCCTGGCAGCATCTGTGGAGAGAAAGCACAATTAACGTTTTGGGTCCCCACACAGCAGGCCTTGTTATCACATGGACTGCTACCACAAACTGTCAGTTGCTAATGGAGTCTGTGAATGGATACTATTCATTCTCCTGGGCTGACCTTTACTCATTCCTTTGTCTGCCTGACTGTTTTTCTCCCCTGTGCTCTATCGCTACTGTTTTACTTGTTTACTCTTCCCCCCGCCCCAACTCCTCACGCCACCTCACCTTCAGCATTTATACCAACCTGTTTTTGCCCTGAATTAACTTCATTTTGTAGGTAACGAGACATGCTTGAAATTGTTTGACATTTTGATAACTCTGCCGAGTCAACTGGGTTAAAACAAGAATCACTGGAAACACTCAGCAGGTCAAGTAGGGCCTATGGAGAGAGGAAACAGCTAATATTTCAATTTGGTGACCTCTCATCTGCTCACTGGGAAATTTGGGTAATTATTGCCGAACATTTCAGCTGGAACCTGGGGTTGACTTGGTATTCCTGATCTTTGACCATTGCAACTTTTATTCAAGTATAACATGGTACAACCCCAAAGCTTATATTTTGAATGGGTCTTGGACAGTACGTGTGACCTGCCTTCACTCCTGGAGGAGTCACAACATTTTTCTGCCTTTAAAGCTTCAGTTGTCTATTTTTGGTTGAGAGGGAGGCTGGTACTTACTTTGGCAATGCACTGTTACATTCTCATTGTGATTTGCCTTGTGCAGTTTTCAGAACATCTCTGTTTCTAAAGTCCCAAAATCAGACGTTGAGCTCAATACCACATGCAGTGGATCCCAAATCGGAGTTGTCTGACACAGTAAGCCACATACCAGCACAAACTGGCAGTGGACTTGTAATTTAAGTTCCTTCTTTACTCCCATTTTTGCCCTCCCACCTCAAAGAGTTAGTGCAAACTGATACAAAACTACTTTTTAAAAATATATCTCTGGAGCAGTCCAACAATATAAATTGAGCACATGCCCTCAAACTCAATGGCTTGTATGAAAGCTAGATTCTGGGCTGTCTCTCAAGAGAAATAAGATATGAGACTCTGCTGGCTAATGTAATATAAAGCAGGATTTCATGTTGAGGCCATATTTCCATCGAGAAATGCAATTTAAAAAGAGGCAGCATGACTTTGCAAACCACAGCATCACATCTAACACCTGCGACACTGGAGCTCTTAAATCAGAAATGTTTTGATCTGGTAGCTTTCTCACATACACTAGTGAGCACTCTCCTCTTATGTCAGGGGCATGTAGGCATGTCATTAAGATTCAGCTGCTACTATAAACACTTGGCTGCTTTCATCTTACCATGCATTGGCTATTGTGAACACTGCTGGGAACTATTTTTATTCACAGTGTTTTACTGTCAGTTCCCAGTGCACATTTGTCACAGTTGTGCAATTGTACACCTCCAGTGTCTGCCTCTCCACAACCAAAGTGAACTACTTCTGAGTCTTTATGGATTCTGACTCTTGGGTATTTGAGCAGCATATTAAAAGGTGACATCGACATTGCTTGAGTAAACATAAAAGCAGAGTGACCAATGCTGGAGGCCATCAAAACAAGACACAGTAGCATCGCACAGGGGGGAATGATGTCATCATGTATGTGGTAATGTCATTGTGTTTGGAGATGCAGTACTGTTTCAGAGGCAGCTGTTTGGGTGCGGGAGTCTACAAAAGCAAACCTGTATCTTGGTCACCATCGTATTGAGACTGCTGGAGTGAGCAAAAGAGATGAGACTGGTTTCATGCTGATGCCTTCATAAGAATATATGCTGGAGATCACAGTATTGGTTATGAAGCTATCCAATATCAGACAGTGGGCGGCCCATTCAAAAACTAGACGGTCCAGTTCAAAATCAGACATCCAGTGGTTCATATGTGGAATGAACGTCCTGAGGAAGTAGTGGATGTAGGCACAGATACAGCATTTAAAAGATACTTAGATAAGTGCTTGAATAGGAAAGGTTTGGAAGGATATGGGCCAGGAGCAGGCAGGTGGGATTAGTTTTGTTTGGGATTATGTTCAGCATGGACTGGTTGGACCGCAGGGTCTGTTTCCGTACTGTATGCTTTGATGACTCTATGAGAAACCCCAAAAATACAAGCACTTCAATGTTAAAATGTTTAGTTTCAGTTAAGGGGCCTTGCCTTTTTACATACAGTCTGAATCTCTGTCATCATGCTAGACTTCTCCTGCAGATTGCTCTGTTGGTGTAAAATGTACAGGACCATTCCCCGTGATTACAATATGACAGGTGACAGTATCTATGGTTCTGTCAAGCTAAGAGAGCTGGACATATTCCAGGTTTCTGTGCAGGCCGGTTTGGAAGTATTCCCAGGTTACTCCTGGAAGTCTGACCCAGCAAAAGCCATGTCCACTGACAGCAAATATGCTCCCCTTTGGTGTTGGACAGTTGTGTGAAATGTGTGTTTCCATTGTAGGTCTCAATCAATAACCTTTCAACTCCAACCGCATTGCTTTCTGCAGAGATATTTCGTGTGCTTATGAGCGCTCTGACTTTTTGCACACTGAATTGTTGAACTTACCCAGCCTAGACCATCTTGCCCAAATGTTATAATGAGGACAGCAGTGGTGTTGTAATAGTATGCAACAAGTAAGCCAGAACCTCAGGCAAATTTTTCTGGGGCCATGAATTCAAATTTCACCATTGAATAAAAATATGAAATGAAAAGCTGGTCTAATGGCAACCACGTAACCACCGTCGATTGTCATAAAAACCTGTATGGTTCACTAATGCTCTTTAGGGAAAGAAGTGTGCTGTCTTTACCCGGTGCAGTCTAATGTGACCCCAGATACACGAAAATGTGGTTGACTCTTAACTGCCCTCTGGACAATAAGGGATGGGCAATAAATGCTTGCTTAACCAATGGCTTCCACATCCCATGGACAAAATGTTTTAAAAATTAAATAATTTGGGGATTTACCTTAATTCAAAGAACCAACAATTTTAAATGTACTTTGCACGATGTATTTGAATGCATGTCAAATCTACGTCTAATGAAATGTTCACTCTCCCCATGCAGTCTTGACAAGTATCGTTTTTCATTCTTCTTGTCAGGTGAGTTCAAATGAGAAACACGCAGAAAGCGTTAAGAGCAAAGGACACATTCTCATTGAAACCCTTCAAAAGCTGTCCCAAGCTGCCAGGTGAGAACCCTAAAGCCTTAAAGGAATTTCCAAGCCTTTGAATATGTATCCATATATTTTATATATATATATCAGATATATACCACAGACATATCGGGTTACAATGCTTTGCAACTGGCATAAGACTGCACTTGAATCAGCCTTTGAAAGCCTCCAGCTTCTTCCTGAGACTGACTTTGATCAATTGTTAGTGTAAGCTGGAGCTGGGTTGCATGATGAAAGATTCCGAAAGTTGCTGCTTTCATTTACAGCCAGTTATGAGCTTAATGTCTGCTTCATTTGAGCTTAGCTTTTTACATCCCCAAAAGGAATCGTAAGTTTTTCAAGTACATTGAAATAACTTTCAAGCCACAAAGTATGTTCTTGGCATAATTATGTTTATATTCCTGACAAGCAGAAATCCAATGAATTTCCAGTTTCACCTCAAACAACTGCACAGAAGGAGGATAGGAAAACGTAAAAGTGAATTAGACTAATATCAACTCATCTGCTGTTTAATGGATGTTCCACAGTGCTTGTTTTAATTTTAGGTGAGAGTCTTCATTGGCAAATGTGTAGGTCTTCTCCGTCAATGGCCAAGACAAATATGAAGATATTAATCTCTAGAGATAAAACAAGCTTTTTGTGGACATTGCGATCTTCTATTGGATTAGGTGCTTCCTGTTCTTCCACCAGTTGCATACTGTTTGTGTCTGCACGATTGTGGTGGGGTCTTATTTTGCAACGCAAATCCCAGGACCCACTGTTCTGCAGCATTTTTGACAGAATACACAGTTGCTGTAGGATGTCTCTCCACCCTAAGAATCAGCCTCCTAAAGACCCCTAGTGACAGGAAAGATTTGAGATGTAATTGAAGAAGCATCTTTGTTGTCCTCTAAGTTGGTGGCATTGCTTCACCACAAAAAGCACTTTTATATTTAACACTTGTTAATTTCAAACTGAGAAGACTGGGGCTCAGCAATTTTCACCGGTTATCTTTGGTTCTCTTATTCTAGCAGTAACACCAATAACTTATATTTATAAAGAATTATCAACCTAGTATAATGTTCTCTGGTTCTTCACAAGAAGATTATCAAACAGACTTTTGACACCAAGTCATGTAAGGGGATATTGGGAGAAATGACTAAAAGCTTAGCTAACAATTTAGGATTTAAGGCACATCTTAAAAAGGAAGGAGAGAAAGACATAGTGTTTTAGGGTGAAAGTTCCAGAGCTTATCATGGCAGCTGAAAGCACATTGCCAATGGTGGAACGATTGAAATAGTGGATTTTCAAGAGACCCAAATTGGAGATGATGTAAGGATCACCAAGAGGTTTAGGATTGGAGGATGTTACAGAGATGGAGAGTTGTGAAACCATAGAGGGATTTGAGAATAAAGATAATCAATGTAAAATTGAATTGAAGCATTACCAGTTTTGGGGCCAATGTAGTTCAGTTAACACTTAGCTCATGACTCTATGACTATGACTGTATAAAATGCTATAATTGAAATTTGCTCAGACTAAGAGCATTGTAAGACCATTATAATTCACAGTCTGGTATCACAATGCATTTAGCTTCAATTTAGCTTCAATTCATCCTACTACAACCACGTTTATATTGGTTTTAGTAAGGTGTTTAACCAGGTCTTCCTATACTTACCTGCACATGAGATAAAATATTTCAAAACTTACACTTAAATACATAATTCAGTTGAAAATAGAGTGCAGAGGTGACACAGTGAAGGGACAACACATGGTTCCACAGGAAATGTAGAAAACAGATGAACCTTCTCTTTATTTTGAGGACTATTTTCATGAGCTATAGAGTGGAGTTATATCAAGGAACCATTCAGTACAATGGTGGTTTCCATAGAGAAACCAAGCCATTCAGATTAATATGCCCCCTTTCATCTGCGATAGGATGCTGTTCCACTTTACACTCTGATACCTTGTCCAACCAGTTAGGAGTGTTACCAGTCATTGAACCATGGAGGAGATCACAAACTGTACCCAATTCTGTTGCCCCAGTCAAGTGGACAGAACTTGACATGGATAGAAACTCGTTCAGATGTATTTTCTCCCTTCCGTCACAGTGTGTAGATTCATTTTTCATTTACTGCTCCTGATTCATTGATAAGTACATCTCTGCTTCCTTCAACCAACCTCAGAAAAGAATTGTTATTCAGCTGTACTGAGCACTAATGACTTGTGATCATATTTAGCCAATATTTCATAGTCACTGTCATGGGATGTGCAGGACATTGGTTAGGCCACTTTTGGAATACTGCGTGCAGTTCTTGTCTCCCTGCTATAGGAAGGATGTTGTGAAACTTGTAAGGGTTCAGAAAAGATTTACAAGGATATTGCCAGGGGTCGAGGGTTTGAGCTATAGGGAGATACTGAATAGACTGGGGGTATTTTCCCTGAAGGGTCAGAGGCTGAGGGGTGACGTTATAGAGATTTATAAAATCGTGAGGGGCATGGATAGGGTAAATAGACAAGGTCTTTTCCCCAGGATGGGGGAGTCCAAAACTAGAGGGCATAGGTTTAAGGTGAAAGATTTAAAATGGACCTAACAGGCAACATTTTCACACAGAGGGTGGTGCGCGTATGGAATGAGCTGCCAAAGGAAGTGGAGGAGGCTGGTACAATTACAACATTTAAAAGGCATCTGGATGGGTATATGAATAGGAAGGTTTAGAGGGATATGGGCTAAATGCTGGCAAATGGGACAAGATTAATTTAGGACATCTGGTCAGCATGGACGATTGGACCGAAGGGTCTGTTTCCACACTGTACAGCTCTATGACTCTATGACGTTAAATGAAGACCCATGAGCCCAATTTGCCTGCTGGACATACTGTTTTTGAATTCACTACTTGCAAGCAGCTCTGACACACAGCATTGCAATCTCCATCTTGTGTACAACACTTCACCTGGAATAGAGATTGAAATCCATATTAGCACAATCCCATCCAAATGAACCAACCAAGGAGTCCCAAATTGCTGTGACTACATACTCATCTGTATACATTTGTATGGAGCTATCTAGTTGAGGCTTTAGTATCTTTCCATTTCATGATTATATAGGAATTTTTCCTGTTCTTGCTACCTGCTATTAATGTATGTTGGAAGGATTTACAAGTTCACACTCAAGCTGATTTACAAGTTACAAAAATAAAAAAAAACACTGCAAATGCTGGAAATCTGAAAGAAAGTCAGAAATTGCTAGAGAACCTTGCCAATTCTGGCAGTATCTGTGGAGAGAAATCAGAGTTAACGTTTCAGGTCCAGTGACCCTTCTTCAGAACTGATGGCAGGTACGAAAAAGTTGGTTTTTATGCAGAAGTTAGGATAGGAGGAGAGGGAGCAAATGATTTTCAGAACAGCCTTCAGAACTGAAGAAGGGTCATTGGACCCAAAATGTTGATTCTGCTTTCCCTTCACAGATGCTGCCAGACCTCCTAAGGTTCTCCAGCAATTTATATTTTTGTTTCTGATTTACAAGTCGATGCTCAAACTGTTTGATTCAGTTATGAAGGCCCCTTCCATAGCATTCAAGACCTGGAATGGACTCAAATCCGAGCTTCTGGATCAGAGGTAGGGATGCTACCACTGGGTGACTGCTGCTGTGGATATATATTATACAGTACAGTGTGAAGCTAGTGACTGCTCAGCCACCATAAATACATGACTTACCATGTTGTTTCTTTGCTCCAACATTATGCAGTGTCTCAGATGGTCCCTGAAGTACTTTAAGAGGTCTGACAGATCCCAGAAAGGTTCCTTAAGAACATAGGAGTAAGAGTATGCCAATCAGCCCTTTGAGCCACTCCACCATTATGGATCTTTACATGGCGATCTACCTCAATACTACTTTACTGTGCTATCCCCATATCCTTTGTTGTCATTATTAACTAGAAATCTATCAATCTGTGTCTCAAATTTACTCAATGATTGAGCTTCCACAGACCTCTGGGGTAGGGAATTTCAAAAATTCACCACCTTGAAACAAGCCCAGAAAACCCTGGATGTCTAGGAATTTTCTGGACAGGATAAGAAGGAAAATAAAGACCTATAGCAGGTGTGAAGGGAGCAAATCAACGGAGGCCCTATTGGAGAATAAAAATTGCATGGGGCATCTTATGGAAGCAACTTAAGAACTTAAGGAATATAATAAAGCAATTAGGAGAGAAAATGCAGGCATGAAGAAACACTGAAGGGTAAAATTAGGGAAAATCCCAAACAGGAGCAGGACTTATACAATTAAAGAGGGCTATGCATGGTGTTGTAGAACCGAGACTTAGGTGTTCACGTACATAATTCTTTGAAGTTTACATCACATATGGATTGAGTGGTTAAGAAGGCATTTAGCACGCTTGCTTTCATTGCTCAGACCTTTGAGTAAAGGAGTCGAGACGTAATGTTGAAGTTGTACAAGACATTGGTGAGGCCTCTTCTGGAGTACTGTATACAATTCTGGTCACCCTGTTGTAGGAAGGAAATTATTAAGTTGGAGAGGGTTCAGAAGTGATTTGCCAGGATGTTGCCAGGAATGGAGGGTTCGAGTTATAAGGAGAGGCTGGATAGGCTGGGACACTTTTCACTGGACCGTAGGAGATTGAGGGGTGACCTTATAGAGGCTTATAAAATCAGATAAGGCTTATAAAATATAGGTAAGGTGAATGGCAGGTGTCTTTTCCCCAGGCTGGGGAGCATATTTTTAAGGCAAGAGGAGAAAGATTTAAAAAAGACACGAGGGGCAATTTTTTTCCACAGAGTGGTTCTTGTGTGCGGTGAACTTTCAGAAGAAGTGGTGGATGCAGGTACTGTTACAACATATAAAAGACATTCAGAATGAGAAATGTTTGGAGGGATTTGGGCCAAGTGCAGGGAAGTGGGACTAATTTAGTTTGGGATTATGGTTGGCATGGACTGGTTAGACCAAAGGGTCTGTTTTGTGCTGTATGACTCCATGACTCTAAATTGTCTAAGTATATTAAGGGGAAGAGGATAACCAGGGAAAGAGTAGGGCCCATTAGTGGCCAAGGGAGGAATCTGTGCGTAGAGCCGGAGGACGTTGGCAGGGTGTTAAATGACTACTGCACTTCTGCCTTCACTCGGGAGAAGTGTAATATAATTACAGAATTTGGGAACAGGGACTGTGAGGTTCTTCAGCACTTTGATATAGGGAGTGAGCAAGCACTGGAGGTTTTGGCACACTTAAAAAAGTGGACATGGCCCCTTGTCCACAGATCCCTGAAGTTGGCAGGAGAAATGAAATAGGATAGTTAAGAAGACATATGGAACATTTGCCTTTATCAGCCATGGCATGAATTATAAGAGCAGATAAGTTATGTGGAAGTTGTACAAAACTTTGGTTTGGCCACAGGTGAATACTGTGTGCAGTTCTGGTCACTACACGTTAGGAAAGATGTGATTGCACTGGAGAATGTGCAGAGGAGATTCACCAGAATGTCACCTAGATTCGAGCATTTTAGTTACGAAAAGAGGCTGGATAGGCTTGGGTTGTTTTCTTTAGAGCAGATAAGGCTAAAGGGGCATCTGATTGAGCTGTATAAGATTATGAAGGGCACGGACAAGGTAAATAGGAAGCAGCTGTTCCCCTTATTTGAAGGGTCAATAACAAGGGGGCACAATTTTAAAGTGAAGAGCAAGAGATTTAGAGGGGATTTGAGGAAAATATTCTTCATCCAGCAGGTGGTGAGAATGTGGAAAACATTGCCTGGAAGGGTAGTTGAGGCAGAAAACCTCACACCTTTAAAAAGTATTTAATTGAGCACTTGAAATATTATAACATTCAAGTGCTGAAAAATGAGATTAGTGTAGTTAGGTGGGCCCAATGGCCTGATTTGTGCTGTATGACTGTGTGATTCTGAATGAAGAAATTCCTGTTCATCCCAGATCTAAATAGCTTGCCTTTCAATCTAAGACTGTGTCCCTGGTCCTAGCCATTCCCACCTAATCTGGTAAACATCCACTGTACTCCCTCTATGGAAAGTATATTTTTTTTAGATAAAGAGACAAAGATTGCATTCAGTATACCAGGTACATCGCACCAAGGTTCTATACTATTAAAAGATGTATTTGCTCCTAATTACTCAAATCCTGTTGCAATAAAGGCCAGCATACCATTCACCTTCCTGATTGCTTGCTGCAGTTGCATGTTAGTTTTCAGTGACTTATGAATTAGTGACTTTATTTGTGCAGCATGCTTGTTTTGCCCTCTTGTACAGATCAGTGTAAAGTCCCCTGTTTTAAAAATAAATGTTCCTGAAAGCAATTCTGCGTTACAAAGATGGATAATTTACAATGGGATATAATGTATTTGTTTAATTGATTTAACCTTTCAAGTCTTATAAATTATTTTCATGATCCTTTTAGTGGGGCTAAATGCATTTCCCAGAATAGTAGTGAGCCAGTAAAATCCACAGCTGTGAGTTAGCTGAGTTGTCAAAGTGCCACTAGTGGCTGGGCAATTGGTCAAAAAGGTCCTTTAGCATTCTAGAGAAAGCACAGAGGAAGTTCTTATTACCAATGGATATACAACAGTCCTTACCAGAAAATGCCCCTCAGTGGATCATCAGGCAAGAACAAGTTGACATTGGCTGTGATTTCCTCACAGTTGAATGGCCTATCAATATTCATTTGCTGGGCCTGCAAATGCCGAATGATAAATGGACAGGTCCATTGATGGATTTCAGCATCCATAGTATGAAAGATAGTAACAGCTTGAAGAGAGGAACTAAGGAGATAGCACTTCAGAATTGATGTTTAAGCCTCAATCTTAATAGCTCATAAGGAAATAGCCATTTGGTAAAATTTGATTGATCATCCACGTCAACTCCACCTTCCCACACTCTCCCCTATCCTTTAAATCTAAATATCTATCAAACTGGGTCCTGCTTAATGACTGAGCATTCACAGTGGTCTGGGTTAGAGACTTCCAAAAAAATCACACCCGTCTGAGTGAAGAGATTTCTCCTCACCTCACTCCTAAATGGCCACCTTCTTGCTCTGAGACAGTCACCCATAGATCTAAACTCCACAGCCAGGGAGAACAACATTTCAGCATCTACCTACTGAGCCCCTTAAAAAACTTCAACGTTTCAAGGAGATTATCTTGGATTGTTATAAATTCCAGAGAACGTCAACCCAATTCTTTCCTTCTAGTACAGTTCCCTCCTCTCAGGGACCAGGCTAGTGAACTCCTTTCAAGTATACTCCAGGTGTGGTTTCACCATGGCCCTGTACTGTGACAGCAAGACTTCATTTCAATACGATATGATTTCCTAATTGCTTGCTATACCTGTATTTTAACTTTGTGATTTGTGTTCAAGAACATACAACGTAGCTCAATCTCACAATTTTAAAAAGTTTAGCTTTTCTACTTTTCCTTCAAAGTGGATAACTTCTCCACACTATATTCATTCTGCCTTATTCTTGCCCATAACTTAATTTGTAAATATTCCTTTAAGCCTCTCTGTGCTATCACCACAACTTACAACAGAATTACTTAATTTTTCTGTGCAGTTATCTGAACCTGATTGAATTCTGACGAAAGGGCTATATAGAGTCTTTTTTGGTTATTTATAGTATTTTTTCTGTATCTTCCAGGTCCCATGCTGATATTGCCATTGGATCTTTGGCTTCTGAAATCCTGAAAATCATTGAGCAGTGAACAGGAGGTAACAGTAAAGCTCCCAGTAACACATTGTCACTTGGGGCTGAAGAGGAATTGACCTTGTCCATTGGTCTCCGTGTTGGCTGGTCTTCTTTGAGCAAAAGAAAGGCTTGATTCGATACAAGAGCAATTCCTTCAAAACATTGCTGCAAAATTGGGAAGAAAGAAAGTGATGAAAATCATTTTAAAAGATCATTACTTACCAACAGGTAAAAAGATGTTTTTGACCATCTTTAACATATGAAATCTTAGTACAAATGATAAAAGTCAGTGTTTTCCATATGTTTCTTAATAGATTTCTGATTTTCTGAGACTGTACTTTGAAGAAATTTCCACTCCAGTAGTGTATTTATCTGATAACTTATGACACTTTGGACTTTTTTTTTTCTCTTATGAGTTGATATAAGATCCCTAATATTCAAATGTGTAGAAAAATGTTTTTCTTCACTATATTCCATAAACAGTCTCAAGTTAATATCTGTAAGATACAATAAAATTATTTTTTAAGATAACCATAATAGCTTTCTGAGTTTCATACTGCTTTGCAGTGAAAATGTTTTAGAAATACTGTGTCCTCTTAACCAGACGTTTTGTTGCTGACAATTTCAAGAAATCCTCTGCTTGGTCCATGGAGCAGCGATATTTTTGAAGTCTTCAACTGGTGCTGTATCAGTGAAACAACAGTAATAATTACACAGAATATTTGTGCTTTGGAGACATTGACATTGTATCTTATGCTATTGAAACTCTGTTAAAATAAAAGGGTAAAACCTTTACTTATGCTTTGCCCACTTGCCCGGTGAGATTTTGAGTGTATGGAAACAGGATGACCTGGAGTTTATGATTTTTCTGTGGCAGGTGGATACCATTATTGTTCTCAAAGGCTATTATGGTGCAGTGGTATTTTCTGCATGGCAATCTCTCCACCAGAGTCCATCTGCCAACCAATAGCACTCTCCTCTCATGTCACATAGACATTGATCTTCCCCTTGAATTTGTATTCTTGTGAAATGTCCCATTGCCTTTTCCAGTAACACTCAACTTCTGTACCAAATAGCTATAATCTTAAAATGTACAAAAGATCATTTTCTTAATCATTCATATTTTACATTGCTTAGCTAGTTGCCATAACATGAAGGCAAGATATTTTAGGGTGACTGGTTAATCTGGAATTCTGACTCTTGAGAATTGTAAAAAAGGAAGAAAATTGGCAAGAAAAGTGCATATGTCTGCCTGTCTTTCTTTTCCTACCCTCATTCTCAGATTGTTCAATTATTTCATAATTGATTAGTCTTTAACCCTATGCTACTTCATTATAAAGTTGGTATCAATTTGCTGCAGTCCATCTGCTGTTTTGGATCGGTCACCGGATTGACCTATATTGCAGCAACAGACTCACTTTTAGACAAACTGAACACTAAGCTTTGATTAATTAAGTTCCCTCACAGAAGTAAGCAAGTCAAATTATGAAACAGAATGAAGGGAGAATTTGAACACGTGAATTTGAATGACAGCAAGATAATGGTGTAGGAAGCACAGTGCAGTTGATGTGAAGTGTTGTGTTGATGCTGTTTGAGGAGTTTCATCTAGATTGAGAGTAGTTGCTGAAAGTATAATTTGTGGAAACTCAGGATATTGCAGCAGATTAATATATGGTAGATAGAGCCCTTAGGGAGTGCAAAAGTTTACCACATAAGATTATTTTTCTGAAAATTAATAGGCAAAGTATACTAAATAAGGCTGTTGAAAGGAGTAGAGATTGTGCATCATCTTTTTGAACATTAATTGTGTTTACTGTTTAGACGTAACATTGCCCAATTCCACCCCAGCTTAAGCTCATCTGAAACCTTCAATCACGCCTCTGTTGAGACTTGATTTTTGCAAGTCTGCCAGCTGAAGCTGTGGGAGTAGCTAGTCTGCCAGGCAAGACTGGTGGCGAAAGCAAAAATCATTCAGGCAAGGCTGGGAATTGAGCAGAAAATGGGATAAGCCAATAACGGGAACCTAGAATTAGGGAGCATTTTCTAAAAAATAAACTCAGACTTTTCAGGAGTTAAATTAGGAAATATATGGGATAACCAAAGGGAAGACAAAGAACAGTACGGCACAAGCACAGGCCCTTCAGCCCTCCAAGCCTGTGCCAACACATTTTTCCCTTCCGTACAAAAACTGTCTTCACTTACAGGATCTGCATCCTTTTATTTCCTTCCTATTCATGTGTTCATCCAGGTACATCTTGAATGCTGCTACTGTGTCTGCTTGCACCACCTCCTCTGGCAGTGGGTTCAAGCACAATGTTACATAATGTCACTGGACTAGTAAGTCAGTGACCCAGGCTCTAGGGACCTGAGTTCAAATCCCACCAAAGTGGCAGCAGCATGTTTAGAGTCCTTGCTTTTGCGTGTGTCCTTTTTTAAAAAAAAAAGCTGCTGTTGCAAAACCAAAAAATTAAGGTTTTCGTTGTGTGTTGTGGCTTTAAGTTCAATGCTGTGTTGATAATTGAGAATATTGGTGAATTCTTCCATGCAAGTCCGAATATCCCATACATCAACACAAATACAGAAAATAATGTCACTACGTGACTGTATCACCTAATAAAGAAATCAGTGAGAATGGCCCCAATAAAACAATAAGTAGCCTATTGAAAATTTTCTCTTCTGGTATAATATATGATGATGATTTCTTTTAAAACAAAATGTGAAAGACTACGTGGAGAGTAATGGGATTTTGTTGGCATTGAGACAATTTTACCAGTGAACAAAATAAACAGTTGTGCACACGGTTTGCCATTTAAATGGTCAGGGGTTCATTAGACGAAATACCCATAGCATGAAAAATAGTTTTAAAATCAGTTTTGACAGTTTAGCAGGGTACTTGCCTGGAGCTGAATATTTAAAGCAGTTGCTCCTGAGAAAGGGAGAAGACAGTTTAGAATTGTTAAGAGCAAGATTGCTTCAGTGTAAAAGTTTAGTAAATGTTCCAGACCAGAAGTGTTTGGTTAAAACCCTAAAAGGGTTATTTGAAGCTAAGAAAATTTAAGCTCAGTTGTATGAATGCTTCAACAAGAGAGTGTTAGATTCTCAAGGCTGAGAGTTGAAACTAAAGTTAAGCCATATACGGGTGATAAAGAAGGGAATTCTGTCTGTCGTGAGTACTATAAAGGGGTTCTTTTGGGTTTAATGGGATTATATTTTTATAATTTGTTTCAAAATCTTTAGAGGTGTGTTTTAGATATAAATAAAGCAGTTCTGAAGGGTCTTCTTCAGAAGTGAAGTCTTCAGAACTAGACCCGAAACGACTCTGCTTTTTCTCCACAGATGCTGCCAAACCTGCTGAGTTTCTACAGTAATTTCTGTTTTTGCTATATGTAAACAGTCGGTCAATTCTATTTTATCATCACTAATTTATGTTTTATTGCTAAAATCAAATCGGTGTGCTTATGTTTCAGTGAGACCACCTTGTTAAAATGAAAAATGTGATCTATCAAGCCACATTTCAGTCTGGGGTCTAACTTGTCAAGTAATAATATCAGCTGGGATCATTATACTGGTCAAAGAGCTTCCTTAGTCTCTGGGGAAGGTCAGTGCAAGACTACAATGTAAAAGCAATGTTGTTGGAGTGTAAGATCGAGCTGAGACTTTAATCTTCAACAACAAAGTTTGGGCTACACTTTTGTCATCACCTTTCCCCCAGAGAAACTTTCGAGCGGCAGCTTTAGCTTGTTAAATGTACTTCTGCTAGCCTGCAGTGTTGATACCTGTTATTTATATTCCACTGTTGCTGTTGAAATTGAGACTGCTGTCAATGAAAGTACTATTGTGAAGATGTGTTAAGATATAAGTGGGGTGATAAATATCTGCCTTTATTGTACAAGCATGAAAATCTTGGAAGAAAATGTTGTATGTGACCTTCCAATGGTTGGTAATGGCACCAGAGGTGCACACATGCATTTCTAATAAGAAGTGTGTCAGATTCTGTCTTGATAAAGGTTTACAAATGCGTACTTAACCATGCTGAGTAGGCAGATTACCTGATCAGGCAGGTTTTATGCCACCATTGCCATTCTTGAACACCATTCTCTAGCCTGTGCCTGTGCACTATTTCACAGAGCTGATCACAATGCTAAATGGCATGAAGAAGCCCACCCTTCTTTACCAGTGCTACTTAAAGAGATCTTTCTGATGAAGGGTCTAGGCCCGAAACGTCAGCCTTTCTGCTGCTATGATGCTGCTTAGCCTGCTGTGTTCATTCAGCTCTGCACCTTGTTGTCTCACAATTATCTACATGTTGGTTGCTGGATTATTTCTTCTGACTGTATGGTGTATTTTATAAACTTTTACATTTCCTATTCTTGCCTGAAGTTTCAGTAATTTACAGGGTCTGACTGGTATTTCAGTCCTTCTTCATTGATTTAAAAGCTTGTGCTGAGACAGATTGTTTCCTGACATGGGTGGCCTGGTATGTCTTCTTCTTGGTATTGAACAGCATTGGGAGAATGATGAGAGGACACACAGGGCAGGACAAGCTACTAGGAGGGAAAGGAGGACTTTTCAGCTGGGTTAGGAGGGCATACCCTTACCTCAGTTTCAATCAGCTGAGATGTCTTCACTTTATTGAACAGGCCATGTTTGAAATCTGCCAATTGGTGCAGTTACAACTGCAGCCTCAGAAAAAGGCAAGCACTGCATAGTCGTTGGCTGTTAAGGTGACAAGCCTTTGCTTTTATACTGCTTTTCTGCTTCTTTCCAGGCTGTTTCAGGAACTGTCACCAACATCTTGCAGTTTGCTGTATACTGCTCTATAAGTGAGTTCATTGAGTCTCTCAACACAGGGAGATGGCTTCATCTCATTCCTTCTAGTCAGAGATGAGCAGTGGAGCAAACACAAGTCTTTACACAGACTGCAGCCTCACACATGAGCTGGGATGCCATTGAATGCACATGCTTTGCATGAATTCAGCCATTTTTTTCACTATCTGTGGGGGATTTCGTTCACTCCATATGTTATTTGAATGTGACCACAGACCATGAAGGTAACTGTCCATTATCCAGACACGAGTCAGGATTCCCTCATAGTGTTGCAAGTCAAATGTTACTGCATGGCTGCTTAGCAACAAGGTTATCCACTCATGACTCCCCATTGGAACCTACACACGCAAGCATAGCAGGTCTATATTGAGGTCCATGTTGCCACAGGGAATGCCACACCT